ACACTGTAATGTTGAATTCGTGTACACAGGAAACTGTTTACCCACATGGCTCAAACAGTAAATTGTTTTAAATTCTGTGGTAACACTGTAATAATCTGATGTTTTATGTATCTACTACAGATGATAATGAATACTTCCGTCACCGAGTTTTGTAGTCAAGCTCTAACTGGGAGATGATATTCAATTAATACTCGATTATAATTATTCTGTTAGTCGTAAAAACTATTCAGTTATAAGTTCTTATAGGGAAGCTTAATAAGGAATTCTACTGATGAAGCTGAAGAACTCGACTCCTCAGAAGTTATAGCTCAGATAGAACTAATTCAGGATGAGCTGATAAAACTGGAAGAATCCATTTTGAAAACTAGAGGTAGTTCTACATATTTTATAGAATTTGAGAAGAATTATACAGTTAATAGTTAAAAACCTTTTTTTTCTCAAAATGTTTAGACCCAAGTAACTTCAAAGAAAAAAATAGTAGAAAAAGACAATATTTAACTCCTCATTAATCATTAGATATCATTTTCATATATATATATTTTCTGTTAAGCATAAACTTTCAGCCATCAAAAAATTTTCTTACTTTTAAGTTATTTTCTTGATGGTGAAGTTTAGCATTAGTTAACTCTGGTTTTGCCTATGTCAACATACATGTTTCTAACTAAGCTGTTTCGAACCTTTGTTCTTAGCTTAAGAGATTATACAGAGTATGTTTCCTGTGTATTACAGCAAAAAGTGCACTTTGTGATACCGAACTTGCAGCAATGTTAGATCCTCCTGAAATAACTGAACAAACTAAACAAACAGAATTGGCATTCTGTGCTTGTGAAGAAGAACTACAAGAACCAGAAGCCAAAGACTAAATGTTCAATACGAGCCTTAAAAACAAGTATTATCAAATTTATTATCTGTTATTATAGAGATTATTCTAACGTATGTACTAATGATATTATTAAAATGTATAAATACATTACTGCTTTTTTGTGCAAAACTGTGAATATTTAAAAATGGATGGTACTTTACACATGTATATTTTTAATTCTGTTATATTTCAAGTTGAAGAAAAATTAACAATAAAGTGTTATCTGTAGATAAAATCAGCTCTTTCTTGTGCTTTGTATTGAATATAAACTCAAGCATTATTTGTTATTGTTTGGCTTTTCTAGAATATTGAATCTACATATACAATACAAATGATGTCTAGTGTTTAATACGTTTTAACACTTTTATATAAATATAAAGTTTGCTTTAAAGATATCTTTAATTTAATTACACGTGCATATTTAGCTGCAGTATCTTAGATACTTGTCATAGGTTCCCATGAGATATCTTAGATAACTTATAATATATTTGGCCCTCTTTTTGTAGTTTTTTTAAGAAACCTTGAAGTTAAACTTTACGTTTTGGGCTAAAAAAACGTTCTCCACTTGTTTTTCATTAGATAAAGTTATGATCTCCATTTCAGCAGTGAATTCATAAGCTTATTTTCAATTTATTAATGATTTAATTCCTTTATTTGTAGTTCATTTGGAACAAAGAATTTTAGAGATGATACAATCTTTTAGAGCTTCTTTGATCAAATTGATAATAATTTCTCAAGCTTCATTAAAAAATTTTCCATTTTTGATCCGGGCAGGTATAACTGCTAGTTTCTGTGTAAGGCTGTTGGGCCTGCAGCCTTTTCTGGAATTGTCTGACAGTTCTACAACAATGTATTCATACTTGACATTCACCATCCATAAGAAAAGGGTTTTATTGAAATTTTAGTTTAAAAATGAGCTATCATCACAGAATTACATCACAGAGTAGATTTCACAGAAGTATCTCTTTGTAGACACAGTTATCAATAAAAATGTCTTGCTTTTCTGTTGCAACACTCACAAGATTTTCACTAAAGAAAAACAAATTTTCAAGTTTGTTTTTGATTGTTTTATATTTGAAACATACTCCTTTTTTCTTTATAATTTTTATTGGTTAAATCTGAAACATATCATTTTGGTGGAAATTTCAATTGTTTTATTTACTGCTCTGCTATAAAAATACTGCCAGTGTGGTAGTTTCTAAGATCCGAGTTTTGGACATATACATTGCAAGCTCCTTTATAATAAGACGATTAAGAAGCCTGTTGAAGTTGGCAATCCGTATCTCCATTTCCTGTCGTGAACCATAACCCAAACATTCACCATGTTTTTGCCAGCTTTATCACTTCTAACAAACAAACATTCATCTCTTTTTATTTTGAGGACTCATTTCAGAATACCTTAAACATTCTATAAAGTAATATATTCATATTCCTCACTTAATCAATGTCATTTACTTGTAACATGTTAAGAGCAACCAAACCTTTATAGCTATGCTTACAGCTTTAGGAAACACAACACATAAACCAAATTCTAATTTTATCAAAAAACTACAAAACAAAAACACTATACACATTAACATCAGAAGTCCTTTCAATTATGGGTAGTAAGTCAGAACCTAGCAAAGCCACAATTAGACTCCCTGCAAAGAACAATAATAAAAGATGCCTCCTATGTATTCTCATGTTGGTATGGTGAAAAAGGCTTAATATGTATTAAAAAAAAACCAACTAAAATGCAATACTTACACCATTTCCAAACACCCTTTCTTCTGATCCTCTCATCCACTAGTAAAACTACTGCATTCTAGAAACAACTCACTATCACAAGATAAATCAAACCTAGAACAGATCAAACACACTAAAGCTAAACATGGACCAAATTAACAAAATATTGCACTATATCACAATTACAGCCCAGTGTTGGTCAATATTTTATACTACTATCTAAACTTTCATCAGCCAGCACTCGGTCATACTGGACAAAAAAAACAAGACCTTAGCAGGTACCCCCAAGAAGTTGAAGTCCATGAATAATACTCTTGTTTATGGTTTCCCGAGTGGCCCAAGATCTTATTACCATGGATATGACATAATTATTGTCCAATACACCATACTATAAAAATAATCATGAATACATGCCCAAGCTTTTGCTCTTTGATGATGAACAAAATAAAAATTTAGACAAATATTGTGTTTACTAGTCAAAATTAGATATTGCAACAAACTTCATACTGCTCTAATGCATTTCTTCAGTTTTACTATCATGTAATTAATAACAAGATATAAAACTGTATTTTATTTTTGTATAAAAGAAGGAAAATACCATTATGTTCAATGAATCGCAGTTTACCATATAACTGAGAAACCATGTGATGAGTTTTATGTTTCTCAGTCTATCTGAAAATATTAAAACACAATACACTGTCTTAAGAAGGAATATTTTCCTTGAATTTTAATTACACATTTGATCAAATTAAAGTACAACTGATAAATGTGTGGTTGATATACAGAATGCTTTCTACTAGTGTGGCATTCTGTCTTTCTTCTCTGTTATCCATGATTATATATTTACATTGATGTACAATACAACATAAAAATATGCAACCCTGTATCACCAAATAACTCAGAAAATTAAAGCTTCTGGAATATTCTATCACTGAGTTTTAAGACTCATTGTCAACAGAAGCTCCTCACATATTATTTATAAACATGTTTCTTGTATCAGACTCATTAAAAACTCCAGGAAAAAATAATCATGAAAAAAACTACATATTGTTAAAGTTTGTGAAAACCTACAGTCAATAACACTTGTTAGTTCTAAATAGCACAAATAATAATGAGACTATTGTACTAATACACTTATTATATAAAGTACTTAACTCCTTTATAACATAACAATCTTGTTGGTACATTTCACATTGTGATAACTGGAACAGTGTGTCCAGGTATTTTGCACTTAAGTGTTTAAAACACTGAATTATTAGCGAGTGACCAGCTAGCCATATCATACTTCTGTTTAGGGAATAAACAGCAAATTTTATCATAGTTCTGTTTAGGGAGTAACCAGCAAATTTTATCATAGTTCTATTCACAGAGTGACCAGCTAGCTTTCTTATACTTCTGTTTATGGAGTAACCTGCTTGTCACTGTTTCATCTCATAGTTTATTCTAGCATTATTTTTTTGAAGACATTGTACACTGTAAGAGGTTCTGATGAGCTTCATCTAATAATATTCCTGAACTTGTTGCGAGAGAACAATCTCTAGCAATAGAATAAATTATAATACAAGATAAGCCCCCGGTGAAGTTGCCATGGCAAAATATTGGGTATGTTCTGTAGGTTTTAGGTTAAAATGAAATTTCAGAAGAATATTTGTATATGATTATTGTCAGATAACTCGTTCTTTGTAACAAATGCACATTGATGCTATGTATAGACTTTTTCATTCTAACTATTCTATTAAATGATTCACTACACAATCTTTATCATAAAGCTGTAGGAACACAGTTTCATGACATCATTTAATTATATGAAAAATAATGCAAATCATTACCATACAAAATTTAATTTTAGTATTTTCTTCTGATTGTGTTTATAACTTTAAGTTGAAAATAACAGCAAACGTTATTTTTCATTGCTTTTTTAAAATAAACTTCCTGAAAAAGTCTAAAAAAATATTTTACAAAAAAATAAACAATTTGTTTCTGTGTTTGTTTTTGAATCTCGTGCAAAGCTACACGAGGGCTATCTGCGCTAGCTGTCCCTAATTTAGCAGTGTAAGACTAGAGGGATGACAGCTAGTCATCACCACCCACCACTAACTCTTGGGCTACTCTTTTACCAACGAACATAATGACCGTCACATTATAACACTCACAAGGCTGAAAGGGCGAACATGTTTGGTGTGATGGGGATTTAACCAGCAACCCTCAGATTGCAAGTCGGGCACCCTAACCACCTGGCCATGCAGGGTAAACAAGTTGTTATACAACTGCATACACTTCAAAGTTCTTATATGAATGGTCTTAAATGTAATGTAAACATATATACACCTACACGCATCAAATTATCTAGATATAAATCACGAAATAAGATTTCTAGGATAACTAGCATTTTGTTTATAAAAGTATTGGTTCATAATTTTTAGCATGTATTCTTGTCTAAGAAATACCTGTGTAAGCTACTTTCACCAATATTATATCTGCATTTCCTTTTTATCAGCAGGCTGTATAAGAGCATGTTTTTCACAGAAAACAGCTTATGCTTGTACTGGGATTTTATTCTACTTTATTTTTAATAGTTTTGGAACTTTTACTATTTTTGGCTTTTTTTGTTGTTTCAATTTGTGAGTAATGGCTATATCTACTCAGACTTGGTTCAGTAAAAGCATTGTTATCACACCTTTTTCTTACTGTTTATTGAGGTATAGTGAAAAAATCATCAGAATGCTCAGCCAAAATAACTTTTGGTTTTAACTTTCACTTGGAGAAAAAAATTAGGAAAATATTCATGTTTGGAGTATCACAGTTGAGTACAGTAATACCTCCCACACACAAAATACAGAGCTTAATGCAAAGTTGCCAACATCTCCAATTTTGACTGAGCTTGTCTGATTATTAATGCTTAAGTATACCGTCCAATTTTTAATAAATATTGGCTTAAAAAAACAATGCCCACAACAGTAATTTGTCATTTCCAGTAAATTATTTGGGCAGGTCATTCCTTATAGCCTAAATTTCATTTTCCTTCACAAATATTAGGTCTGGGTGATAAAACATTTAATCAGCATCGTTATCTTTTAATATGTTAGAATTTCAAGCACTGGTGTAAATGGCACTTTTAGAACAAACCAAAATGGCAACTACAGATACTCCACGAAAGAAAAAAACAAACTATTACCATCCATCATCATAATTTCATTAGTTAATATACAGTCACATTTCTATTCTTTATACATCAAAGCACAGTAAGCAATAGCAGGCCTGAAAACCCCAGGCTTCATGAACTCAGATTTTCTTTTAACGCTAGGCAGGCATCTCTGTAACTGCAGCATTAATGACATTTGGTTATTGTTATACATGACTAATTTTGCAGTACTCTTAAAATAAGTTTTTCTATAAACTGTTTTTGAAATGTAGCCTTTTTAAGTCATGATCAGTAAGTCGTTCACTGTATATTTAAAAAGCATTAACAATTTACTCTACAATCTATTACACAAGTTTTGCTGAAATATAGTAACATATTTAACAAAACACTTTTCAAGCTGAAACAAAAACAGTAAACAAGTTTTCTAAATAATTTTCTGATTTTGTTTAAACTAAAACTCAGGACTTACACAATCAAAATTTTTCATCAAAAGTACATCTTTTATGTAATGAATGATACTATTTTGTTTAAAAGTATCAGAGCAAGTATATGACAATTTAGTTTTACATTGAATAGTGTTAAGATACTTATATGTTCAATGATTTTGTTTTCCAGTTAATGTTTAAAAAAAGGAGACACTTGAAAATACTTATTTAAAGAATTTTAGAACCTATAAAAGAAAGTTTCTTATGAAGAACTGCTGTTTTTTATGTACTGAAAGAAATATGAAAATATGACTGCTGAGACTGAAATAGATCTCTCTTGTACGACATATCTATAAAATACAAACAAGTCTAACAGATCAAATACATATATACTTGAAGCATTAGGAATTATGCCCGAAAAGTACAAAATGGTACAAAACAGCCACACAAAAATGATTTTATCTTTTTCTTGGGTATATGGTGATTCCAGTTATTGAAAACTAATTAATAACTGAACTTGCAAACTTTTAAAGAGCAGTCATACGAGAGGAAAGATTTGATTTCCAGCCAAGACATCAGTCAAATCCCTGCCAATCACTGTACTCTGATTCTTCTTCATCCATTTCTTGACCAATGCACCGGATTCCATTCTTCAAAAATGGAGTTCCCTTACCTTTGCCTGAAAATAAAGAAATTTAAACTTTATAGCCCTGTAGAAAAAAAAAGCAATTTTGTAAGAATATAAGTTTACTCATAGGCTGAGTAAGTACTTTTAGTATGTACCATATCATTGACAATTAGACAAAAACTAGTTTCACTACATTCAGTATGTACATCATTAACTCTCTCAACACAGGCTCAGTCGATATGACCAACCATGTGACCTTTTCGTACTCCTTCACATACAAAAAATCATATTTTTTAGACTAGTCCACATGCAAGGTGATTTTCATGTTAACATTAAAAAATACTTTTCTTCATCTCAAAAACTGAAATTTCATTTGCATAATCTCTAAAATCTCCTAAATACATTTCAGATGTTTGGTTTCAGTAAAACTTTATATTTTATCTGTTATTTTCTCTACCCTAACTCTATACATGGTTGGTCAATTTGACTGACTTTATAACCACTAAAAAAATAAAAATATAAATTACCCCTTTTTTTCTATCTAGAAAAACTTCAAATTGTAACACAAAACTACATGTGTTTACCCTAAACAGCTTTAAACTTGTAACAGTATACATCTACTTATACTTAAATTTTATCGTTTTAAATCCCCTTTAAACCATGTCTAACTACTATTATTCATGCTATAATAAGTTGTAAATCACTTGGGGAATGTGAAGCTCATGTTACACTATCCAATTACATTACCCACAAGCTACTTCTAGCTGCTCGTGTGCGTGTGTGCTTCATGAAACATTTTTATTATACTATTATTATTATTTTTTTATTTTACATAATCTAACTTTGTCTAACCTAAAGAGATTCCTATTTTTACATTTTAGTTATATTTATAATAATAAATAAAGAATACACATGAAAAACAAGAAATAAAGTCTTCTTTGTTTTGCTGTCAATGACAATGAACCCTACTTTTTTATACTAATGATAGTAATGCACTAAATAATTTTAATTTAATTTAATAATGCACCAAAGAACACAGAATAATAATATGCAAAAATCAGACAATTTCCAATAATTATCACAATTTTTCTGACTTTCTAACTATGCAACAAGAGCCATTGCAAGTTCATCCAAGCTAGTCATTACCTTTCCCGTGTAACAAAGATTATACTAATAGAGAAAATGACAATTCTCTGTTCAGAAAACAACGTAATATAACACGTCATTTGATATATGAAAACCTTAGCTTTCTATTGGTTATATATATATTATAGTATTAAGAGCAAGATAGAACTATTAACAAATCATGAAACAGGTGGGTGTAATTTTCTATTTGATGGCTCTGTAACCAAACAATATTGAAGACTATAAAAATTATGGTTTGTCTGAGCAATGAAGATTTTATAGTGAGTAATTTACATTATATTTCATACTTATTGGAAGGGTGGTGAATAAAATAGAGAAGAGGGGATGTCTAGAAAAAATGTCACATTTTTCATACTATGGGAAATTCAGGATTTTTTTAAATATTGCCTTATAAAATTAAGAACTTAAAACTTATATACTATTAAAATATGGATTATTAGTTAAAATTTTATGCTATAATAATTAGTATAACATAAACAAAAAGTAGTTTAATTCAATTTTGAATGGAGGTCACTAAAACCTTGTGACATGTGCAGTAAAGGATGCCTGTGGTGATAGGGTTAATGAGACTAAGATAGATTTTTACATATCTGATATTTGAATTTTTATTATTTAACAATGCTATGTTGAACACTGCTTCCCAATTACCAAGGGCTCTGTTTTATTTTAAACAGCTGTTTAAGAATTATGACCTCAGTAAGTTGAATGAAATATCAGGGTAGATGTGTACATTTTACGTATATATCTTAAAGGAGTCCCTTTCAATATTTAAAGCACACTGAATCACATTTTTCTCAGGTTGGAATTAAAACTAATCTTCCAGTATTTAACATAAGAAAATAATCACATTAAATGTTTTAATATTTATCATGTTGTTTACACTTCAAATGATGGTCTCAGCTCATTGCCTGTCAACATTTAAATACATTTTTTACACTAGTTATGAATCCTTATCATTCATACTAGTGGGTGACAGGAAACTTGCTCCAAGACAGCAAGCATCTCCAAAACCAATGTTTTATTATGGAATCCTTAATCATTCAAACAGCATATAGTTTTAACTTAATAAAAAAATGAGATTTAGTCAATGTTATAAAACTTTTGTATCATTTAAGTACACAACACAACAATCTAGAAATGCCTGAAAGCTGGCATTACCTCATTAGTGGCAATAGTTTCCTCAGACATGTTCTAGGGAGGTAATCCAATTTCTCTGCCAACTTTGTTTTTCAGAGCATGCCAAGTCTTTATAACATGCTTAGAAAGACACTAACTTATTACTAGTACTGTTTTTAACTACCCTTAAAGGTCTTTTGAGGACAAGTCGGCCACTAAATAAATCTCTTTGATTAGAATCTAGAAACTTATTACTGGTACTGTTTTTAACTACTCTTAAAGATCTTTTGAGGACAAGTCGGCCACTAAATAAATCTCTCTGATTAGAATCTAGAATAACAAACCACTGAGACAAAAGTCTGGAGATGGCTTGAATAGATAATGAAGAAAACGTTACTATAAAGGTACAACGACATTATGTGATATGGTAAAGAAGTTTTCAAGTGAAATTAATGTATATGTATTCTTGGATAATTATGAATAATCTGTACTTACCAAGTACTCTAGCATGTAGCAGCAGTGTTATGATAAATATAGAGTTCCCACAGGCTTCTAAGAGAACTTGTTCACGTAATAGTTTCTCTTTGTATGCAATAAGCTCTAAAGTGATTTGATAGGGTATTTCTGAAATAAAAATAAATTACATATGAAAGTCAATTATATTTTTAAAACCATAAATTTCAACCATGTTTGATCAGCCAGCTTTATGATTCTCTTGCATTACATACTCAAATGAAAAATACATTTCGGGTAGGTAATGTAAAAATTAATTCATCTAAAGCAGTTTTTCTTTTATTTTAATCCAGTTTAAACTTGTAATTTCAGTTTTCTACATTCCCAAGCTAACCTCTAATGATTTCGTTCTTCTTAGCATAAGGTTAAAAAATAGGTTATCTGTACTGTCTACCAGGTGGAATTGAACCCACGATCTTATCATCGTATTTCCAATTTCTATGTCCTAAATAACCATTCAGTTTATGAATAAAATAATTATTAAAAACAACAAAAGAAACATTCATTTTCAGAAACCTGGTTGCCTCAATAACACTGTACATTCTATACTGTTGAAGCATCAGTTTTCGTATTGAGAATCAATGACATATCGGAAGTAACATCAAATGCTTGCCACCAAATGAAAACTAATTCTCTCCATTTCTTTTTTTTTTAAATAACTTTTCTAAAGGATTCCATTTGAATTTCAGAATCTTTCTTTATTTACTTTGCACAAAACTCAAGCTACTAGATTGGAATTTCAGATTAACAAGAAACCCTGGCAGACCCTTGGCAAATAACTTAGACAGCTGTGGAAGTATTCAAATAAACTTTTATTCAGGTCAATAGATGAACAAAATGTAGAACTTGGGAAAGAAAAAAGAAAGGTATATTGAACATGGACACACATGAACTTTGTGTAACTGCTTTGTTGTCAGGTATTTTTGTACATTTTCAATACGTGTATCAGTTAGTAACGTCTGATCACGAGTAAACTAACTGTATAGATCAGATCTAAATAACTTATAAATTCATCAAACTAACTATATCGATCAGACCTAAGTAACTTATAAATTAATCACACTAACTACGTAGATCAGATCTAAGTAACTTATAAATTAACTGTATAGATCAGATCTAAGTAACTTATAAATTAACCAAATTAACTGTATAGATCAGATCTAAGTAACTTATAAATTAATCACACTAACTATGTAGATCAGATCTAAGTAACTTATAAATTCACCAAATTAACTGTATAGATCAGATCTAAGTAACTTATAAATTAATCAAACTAACTACAGATCAGACCTAAGTAACTTATAAAGTAATCAAACTAACTATTAGGTCATCAAGAAATTAATGTCACTTTTTTAGATGAAAAAAACCTGAACAGCTTGTGTATCCAAACAAAACATTTATTACATGAAATAGCCTCCATTCTTATCGACGATGCTTTTCCATCTTAAAATCAGGTTGTTAATGCCCCAATTAAAGAAATCACTTGGCTTTGAAGCAAAAAACATTTAATACCTTCCACATTTGCATATGTTTTCCCATTAAGATGGTGTTGCAGCGAACAAAAAAGATGGTAATCTGATGGTGCCATATCTGGAGAATATGGTGCGTGGGGGAGAACTTCCCAATTCAATCTATAATCTTGTGTTGTGTAAAACATGCCACATGTGGACATGTATTGTCGTAGAGAAGAAAAACACAGTTGCTGACTATGGATCTCTGCATTGACAGTTCACTGTGGATTGAGGAGTTAGAAATGAATTACTCCTTTGATGTCTCACCAATTGCAAAGCATCACTTTCTGCAGATAGAGTCCAGGTTTTGGAGTTGAAAGTGGTTTTTGTCTAGGACTTAGCCATTGATTTTGACATTTAATATTTGCATAGAGAATCCATTTTTCATCACCAGTGACAATTCTGTCCAAAAATAGTTCACGCACATTACGCGCCAGAAGAGACAAAGCAACTTTCACACACATTGGAAATGATGATCATCGGAGAGTTTGTGAGACACCCAAAAACCTTTATGGAGTTTTTCCCATATTCCTTACATGTTTATGTATTGTTTCAT